AGAGTATGTGCAATCGTACGTGGATACTCTGCTCGATCTGGAGCTTCCAGAGGAGAAGAGGAAGCTTAACGAGGACGAGATCGTGAGCTTGTGCTCGGAGTTTCTCAATGCCGGGACCGATACGACTGCCACGGCGTTGCAATGGATCATGGCGAATCTGGTGAAAAATCCAGAAATCCAGGAGAGACTACACGAGGAGGTCAAGGGCGCAGAGGAAATCGAGGAGGTGGAGAAGATGCCGTATCTGAAGGCGGTGGTTCTGGAGGGTCCTCCGGCGATATCCTCCGGGACATTTCGTGCTGCCGCACAGCGTGACGGAAGACACCGTATTGGGAGGGTACAGGGTGCCGAAGAAGGGGACGATCAACTTCATGGTGGCGGAGATAGGGAGGGATCCAGAGGTGTGGAAGGAGCCAATGGCATTTAAGCCGGAGAGATTCATGGGAGGAGAAGAAGAAGAAGCATTGGACATAACCGGAAGCAGAGGGATAAAGATGATGCCGTTCGGAGCGGGAAGGAGGATCCGTCCGGGGATTGGGCTCGCAATGCTGCATCTCGAGTACTATGTGGCCAACATGGTCAGGGAGTTCGAGTGGAAGGAGGTCCAGGAACATCAAGTTGACTTGACCGAGAAACTCGAGTTCACTACTGTCATGAAGCATCCGCTCAAGGCTCTCGCTGTGCCCAGGACAAGTTACAAAGACTAGTCTTCTGCATCTTCTTTTCTTCCTTGTAATATATAAAGGCTTCATTACATAACTGGTTTACACAATGTGTACTTTGTTTGGTCAAGTCAACTATGGGATCACATTATTAGCCAAGGTACATTCTATACGTTGGAAGTAATGATAGAATGTTTAGAAAAGTGGGATTCAAGTGTATCGTGGACGAGATATTTGTTCGCCACCTTAAGGGGTTTCTTGGTTGATTAGCTGTTCCGCTATCATCTACAAGCATTTGTTGGACGCGTTTAATGCTAATCATTGTACCAGTACGAAATAAAAAGACCATTCCCTCAAGTGTTTATGGTGGTGGGTAACAATTGGGGTGGGACAGACGATTCCGGATATTCTGGAATTTCAGGGTATCCAGATCCGGATCCGGATATGAAATTAATATTAAAAATAATTAAAATTATTAATAAATAAATAAAAATATATTTTTAAAAATTATTAGTTAATATCCGGATCCGGATCGTGATATCCGGACCTTAAAATTTGCTCTCCATATCCGGATCCTCTTTTCACGGATCCTAGAATTTACTATCCTTATCCAGATATCCTAATTTTCGGAGCGATTCCG